CGTGTGTCATGCGTGTACGTCGAATGCTATGGAAGCTAACTATTATTGCGTGGATCTAACAGTAACACGTGTGAGGTTACGGAACAAGACACGCGCCGCAAGCACGTGGACAACGAGGGCAGGTTGTGCTGCATACACTGAAGCGATCACGTATGTGTACATGCATTGAAGAAAACATGGACTCCATGTTTCCCGTGTTTATCCCATGACCTTACAATGTTTGCTGTGAATATGCTTGGTGTCTGCTAGAACAATGGTCCGTACGAGCAAGACTGCAAGTATACTTCGAGCCATGGCAGTTTCCTGCAGCAGCAGCAGCGACGACGCCGAGGCGGACTCTGATTCGTCCGTGCAGAGTGACGTGGGCGTAAGTTCAAGTGTTATCAATAACGGCATACAAGCAGCTCAAGCCACGGACGCGCTTGACGAATACACCGTTGCTGATCTGGAAACAGCACGTCACGGTGATGCTGCGCAATCTGAAGAATCACTGCGTTCATCAGATGATGTGGAAGGCGCGGCTGGTGACACACTTAATGAAGAAGAGAGTGATACTTCTGGAACAAGCACAAGTACGCGATCGCGAAAGAGGACACTAATGGAGAGCAACGTGGAGCTCGAGTACGTCCCATCTTTGACACCGTTTCACAAGAATAGATACAACTACCAGCTGTGTACATTTATGGTCATGGACCAGTTTGGAAACGGACAAGCTGTTCAGCACTCTGTGATCGAGCGCAATGCTGACTGGCATATGCTCAAGCTGATCGAACATTTCCAAGCAGTGGTTAGCTGGTGTGTTTTTGACGGAGTACAACTTTGCCGTTGACTCCGATAATCAACGCAGTTATACTATTGACGACCAGCCGCTGTACGTCACACTGACTCGCGATGATCGGTCCCACCGCGTGGACAAGTTCGATTGGAGGTGTACTTGCGAGTTCTCGTCTACGATGAAGCTACCTTGTCGACATGGGATGATCTATCGAAAACATCATGCCGCACTACTCACAATTCCGTACGCTTCAATTCCGGCCAGGTACTTGCCATGTTTAACACCATGTTAACCATGTTTTTCAAGAATTTAATAACCATGGTTGTATCATGTTTATCCAATGTTTATATGATGTAGATGGCTTCGAGTAGGAACCGTGGACTGTGATCTACCCTCTATTGATGTACCTCTACAGATTCACGCAGAAGGGGACCACGTCGCTCACAAGAAACAGATGATAGAGCGCAACAAGTACAAATGCGTTCAGAGTGTCTTCAGTCGTCTCACGTCGGAGCTCACTGGCCTACCTGACGCTAAGTTCACTGCCGCGCTGGACCATCTAGAGAGCTGGTGTGATAATTTGCGACAAGGAAACGTAGCTCTACCTCTCACGCAGTCCGGTACATCTGATTCTGAGCTCCTCCCAACTCAAGTCGCTGTATCCGAACCGGAATCTCACAATGAAGGGAAGGGCAGTAGTGTTCATGTTGCCGAGACCCAAGGAATAACTGCCGATTCGATGTCAGCGGATCCTAAGCCTGAAGTGAACTTACAGAAACGCGCGAAGAAAGCAGCAAGAAAAGCCACGCCTAAAATCAACCAATTTAATCCACGAGCGCCAAAACTGGGCCGTCCTCGAAAGAATCGAGCTGCACAAGACGCTCAGCGAAACGCCGACAGGAAGGAATACAACAAGGGGGCAAAGTTACGGAATGCGTTGCGAGCAGACGACGTAGTGCATGTCGAGGAGTTCCTGAAGAGCAGTCAGCCGTCGCTGATGGAGCTAAGCTCGTATTTGAACACTTTTGAGACGCGACACTTCGGGCGCAAGGAGAGAAACATCACAGTCACGAAGCGAATCCCTCCTGAAGATAGCGTGCCGTACCGTCTTCCCGAGGCTATGGTACAGAAAGCGCTAGCAGATATTGAACGCAGGACACCCTACGGTGAAGTTATGGATCTCAGTACGCCGATGGACGCAAGCGTAGAATGCTGGGTAGCAGACATAGATGGTGTGGGTGTGTTTACACAACGCCAGCTGATCGCGATGCAATTTTTGTGGAGCTTCTCTGCAGCATGCGCGAACGGCTTAAAATGCTACTCCTAGCTGATGGGTAAGGTGGACATACTCCTTGACAATGACCAAGTTGCTTTGTTGGCTAAACGAATGATTGAAACATGGCCTGGTCAGCGCCTTCCGGGATTCGACCAGGGCTTTCACTTGGACTGGACGCATTTGTACTGTGCTCGAGATGGCTGCTGGTTCAACGACAATTTAATTCAAGCCTTCTCGGCGACGCTGTCGGCCAAGTACGGTGCCAGCACTACAATTTTCCTACCGCAGCTTAAAACACCGGCAAAAGATAAGGGCCATCGAATCCCACCACTGACGTTAAGTCTTGTAGCAGCTACGAACATGGAATGGGTGTTCATGCCGCTGAACGTCAATGCCAGTCATTGGACATGCCTCGCTGTGAACCAGCTTCAAAAAACCATTTACTGCTACGACAGTCTCGACAAACGCGCCTATCATAACTTGCTGGAAGAGTTGGCGCAAGAGCTCGTGGTCCGGAGCATGACGGAGCCGTACGAGATAATAGCTGTGCACAACCCCATCCAGAACGACGGTGACAACTGCGGTCTGTTCGTATGCCTGTTTTTCTGGCGCCGCGTGTACAAGGAGGCACCCAGAGATTATTCGAAGACGGGTTGTCTACGCCAGCGGTGGGATCTCCTTCGCAGTGTGGTGGACTTTAGTGACTCCAGCAAAAACGCAGAGTAATTCGATGCTAAGTTTTGCAATACATGTTTACGTACCATGTTTTCCATGCTTGACATGTTTTAGTATCAGACACCTGAGATGGATACATTACGTAAGGTAGTTTCAACCCATGACGAATGTGGGGGTGAGTGTCGCGACAACACAGAATCCTCTTCACTCTTACTTTTTTACGTCGTACTGATAACATGTTTGGACATGTTACAAAACATGTGAAACATGTATAAGATAAAATACCGGACCTTCGTCATTTATTCCCAGAAAACATGGATGGCACCTGGAAATGTATCCATGATCACCATTGTTTCGATACCTAACCCTTTTTAAAAACATGGGCTGTATCGCCAGCCTTTTTTCTTCAGTGAAAATGGTTTAAAGCACCTTTTCACACGTATAACTTCTTCAATAGGTTGCAATCATTCATTTCATATCGGAAGACAATGCCGCTTGTAGCTCCGAACACAATGATGGTCATGCATGACATGCACTCATACGAGCTACATCCCGCACCCGTAGAAATACGTGGGGATGGTCAACATTACGCTGTCCTCTAAACCATATATATGTTTATCTATAAATATATAGGTATTTTAACTTTGCGAAAATTGCAATAAATGGAACCAACCGATGACATTAGAGAGCTGTACTGTAGTTCTGGAGTTGAAGTTAGGAATATATTTAAGCAAAAATCCGGTTTAGCCGATTTCTGTGAGGCTATTTTAAGATGCCCCATACTATACCCCAGTGGAGTCATGAGGTCACTCGAGCTCCAAGAAGTCTACTTTTGGAGAAACGCTTCGTAGCCCTCGATTAGCTCCATAATCTCGGATAACTTCAGAAACTACAGCTCTCTACTAGCTCACGGCAGGTCTTAAGCTATCTACGCATCCCGGCGAGTCGAATGGCAGCGGCTACACGGTCATCCTAAAAGGAAGGCAATTTAAGCACTCCCAGTCGTGCAAATAGGCAACAATAAGCCGTCACGTAAAACCTCCCGATAATAATCGGCCAATACACAAAGTCTCTTGGCCTAGATCTTTTCCATGTTTTAGGACAGGTTAGGGTCGCACTGGAGGCGGTTAAAGCTCTAAAAGGTGGCTGTCTTTATCTAGACAATTTAAAGTCTACCGCATACAGTATTGAGTCTTGTTTTAATAAAGCATCTTCTTCATGATTAATAATATTTTTTCTACGTGTGTTATTTTTTTTTAGCATTGGCTTACCTCAATGATACATATAATGATGTGTGCCAGAAAGTGAGCATTAAAAAAACTTTCGAAGACCAAAAATCAGTGATTTGAGTTTTTGTTTCAGCTAATGATAGTTCCGTAATCACGGAAGGGCTGAAACTCAACTCTATCGTCGGGTAGGGAAGAGCAAAAGGGGCTTCTAGCTCAACCTTCTTTTCAGTTCGAGTGGAGCGCCAGAGGCACAGCGCCGACCAAGATGGTGTTCGTGGCACCCGAACTGATGGCCGACCAAGCTTCCATTATCATATACAGCGCCTTGGCAGCTAGAGGTAAGAGGAGGCGCTTCCTGGCCATAATGTCCGCTCTCAAAGAGAACCATTGCTTTCGTCTTCTCGAGCGCAGTCCTCGTATCAATTTCGACAACCACTTCGACCTAGCCATGGATGGCGCTGCAGCCTGTATTCGCTACAGCTTCACTATTTGTGAGCTTCAGTGTTTGTCTATCAAGCTACGGCTAACCTAGACACTACAACCTACACCGGTCGGTGACACTCTCCCCAGCGTTGAGGCTCTCGCAATGGCCTGCCGCAGGCTTTCCGAGCCATCCAAGCTTTTCACTGAAGCCAATGAGTTTGGGCGGTCAGCTGCTGCCTACAGCCGTATCTGCAAGAAGACTGTCGCTATTCGCAGCGACGGCGTCTAATTTCTCACGCTGCTGACTTTCTGGACACGACGAGCTCCAGATGTCGCTGCTCTCTTCCGGCCGAATACAGGAGCTTCTCCTGAGCAATGGCGACAAGCACTGTCGTCACTTTGCTGCGTGGTCGAATCTCCGCCCACAGCAGCGCTGACGCCGCCATCATCTCCCTTTTCCTCCTCCTCATCGTCGTCCATCTGGTCCATCTCACCGGTAGCCAGCCTCCGCATCAGCTCTCCTGACGTCTCAATGCCTCGGTTCCTCGCTCTTTTCTTGGCTTTTTCTTCATCAGCCAGCTCCTTCCAATTGTCCATACGGCTTACGATGTCTTGTAGCAGTACGTCGCGCTCTTTGTACTCTTCAGTGGTACCAGAGGCCCGCACAGAAGCTCACTGTGCCTTGCGGAGCATACGCACTAGCCGATCAAAGCGAGTACACAGGGCCGGTCCGACCTTCTATAAAAAGCTGTCAACAGCGCGGCCTTTTTCTGCTATAATCTCAAAGGCCTTTATGATTCCATTTGCTGTGCCCACGGCAGCCTCCCATGGCTTCACTAAGTTTGCACAGCGGAGCAAATAAGATCATCAGCCACTGTAAAGTTTTTACGTACCCTGGGAGACATGTCCGTGGGCAAGGCAAGCGGTGTGAGCGCATAAGTCGCCGGGTCTGGCATCGCTTCTTCCACTGTCATTGCCGTTAGTCTGAAACTTGTCAAACTGAAACTGAGGCAGCTCGAAACGCACCTTTTGTTGGCAAGGGTTCTAGTTTCAGTTTGCATAAAAATGTGTTGTACTGAAACTGAAACTCAAATCTTGTGCGCTTCGAAAGTTCTCGATTTTGAAAATCATGTGGATAAGAAAGGCTAAATGAACGGATGTAACTTAGTACAAAGTTGGGCGCCGCTCGCTACGGGATCTACACGAGTAGGTACCGCGCGCGACGAGTGAAGTTAATAACTTCTGCTAGCTGAGCAATGTCAAGTTTGGCGTCAGGGATGAGGTCCTTATTGGCTCTTCAGTCGAGCTTAATTTCCCAGAGTACGTTTCTTTCTCTTTTATCCAAGGGCAAATCACGCCTGCTCGCTGCTTGACAGATACATCGAGGTTAGGACGATCCATCTCGTACCAACTATCCTATCCCCGATCCGGGATGATCGGCTAGCTGTTATAGTAGCTTTGGTACGGAATACTGGCTCATGTGCGGTTCCTCATGATAATGCGCTCTTGGAGCCTTCCGAGGTTGCCCTGGTGGCTTTCTCGCGGGGTAAATCGCACAAGCATTTGCAAACCAAACTCGTCAAAATGTTTCGATACAGCCAGGATGTGCGGCGCGCATTGTGCGCACAGAGCCATCCACTCTAGAAAAGGCCTTACAGCCGCAGTAATACTTACATTTAGGACGAATGATTAAAATCTATTTCCTCCGTCCAGTAATTTAAGGCATGAAATAGAGAAAGAACCGCTTTAACGTCAAAATCGCATTTTATTGAAGTTTGATTGGTCTAAAAGATGCGTCAAAGCTTGGCGGCTCTTCTGGTGGTTTTTGCGCTCATTTAAAATGGGAAGTTGACGAGCTATGGTCGTCCAAATAGGGCGTCATTACTCATTTTCGCTCTTTTTCTTCACAACAAGCCCAGATGAGCCTCCACGCCGACGGCGCGCGCTGTAAAAAGAAGAACCTCACGTCAGAGGAGCGTGCTGAAGGCGTGGCAGCTCTTCTGCGCTCGAGCGTGAATTTATAGATGCCAAAAGGAGAGATGTTGCCTGTGCAGTCCGTTTTGGCTGTAGTGAGCGCCAGATTGCGCGGCTGTGGCCGCGAGTGGCCCAGGATGTTCGCGAAGGCAAACCTATCAACTACGACAGCGGCAGGAAGGGGAGAAGCGGCTACAAGTCAGGGCTAACGGAGGAGTTCCTTCTCGACCTCAACCACGCCATCGCACTTACCCCGCTTAAAGACAGAACCAACCTATGTACCTTAGCTGTCCCCCTCGGTATACCTAAATCTACTCTGCATGACTACTTTCTCTCGGGGGTATTCAAATGCCACACAGCATGCCTGAAACCCATGCTAAGGGACGAGCAGAGAATTGCTCGAGCTCGTTTTGTCTCTGGATTTGTCCAGAAGACGGGGAGAAATGGGCTGCAGATCGACAATATGATGGAGTATGTGCACCTGGATGAAAAGTGGTTCTACCTAGCTGTGCTCGCGCATGCGCGGAGGGCGGGTGAAGGATGCGCCTTCAGCCACAGCCTGCTAATTCACCGGCTATTAATTCTCTCGACCTCGGTTTGTGTAGCTCCCTACAGTCGCTTCAGCACAAGACGAAGGCTAAAACTATCGAAGACCTGGTCAATAATGTCGACAAAGCCTTCAAGCAGCTTCATTACAGCGCTCTAGATAGCGTTATCGTTTCTCGAAAGTCTGTGCTGATGGCTTCTATGGACGTTGATGGAGGCAACAAGTACGCCATCCCCCATCTTTCGAAAGCCGCGTTGTTGGATAGCCGTGGTCGCTTCCGCGGTCTCTAGCTTGTAGTGACAGAATCTATCAGAAAGCAATAAATCTGCTAAGTTCGGCTGATACGAACCGAACTTAGTCCTATATTTTCGGACAATGTTATTTGTGACGCTGGTCTTAAATTTTCGGACGGAGGAAGTACATGACAGCGTCGTCCTAGCAATATTAAAAATTTGAAAGGTAATGTTTTAAAAATAGGAATACAAACCTCATTTTCTGGCCAGACACGAGAGCTCCAACTATCTTGAAATGGCTCCGCACTCAGCTTTTGCACCAGATGAAGCGAGGGATATTGTGTTTCAATGCATTGCACATTGCTGGTAGCCTGAAGTGTACCTTTTCGTGACAGGAGACATTTAGCTCTTACCTCGTGGATTCGACAACGTCCCACCTAGCATTACGTGGCGGACGTTAAATAACAAGCTCAAATCTTTCGTACTACGTGTCTTGACCACCCAAACGCTGCCTGTGCGGACTAGGATATTAGTTTTCGAGCACATTCGATAGCCACAGGTACGGTCGAATGAGATCAGGAACTTTAATAAGCAAAGCTCGGTCGCAAGGTGAATTACAGTATGATACGATGTGAGGCAAGCTTG